ACCGTGTGGGGGGTGAAGAGAATTACATCAACTGTCTGTGCAGAGGTCAGGGCAGCACCTCAAAAGGCGACGAGGGTCAGCCCTCCACCAGGACCTGGGGAGGGAGTTGAGACCATCACCATCATCTGCAAACATACCCGGATGTGAGCATTCAGCAATCAGTCATCACGTATTTCTTGGTACATTTTGCTTTCCAACAGTATTTAAAATCAGCCATGCTGCTTTAGTGGAGGGGCTTTATATTTGGTTTTAAAGCGTTGGTTCTCTTTTTTATATGGTTCAATAAAAATTACTAATAATGTCTTTCAGAATTTGCCCACTCTTCTGGTATAACTGGTTCTCATGGCTGGGAACAAAGGAAGAGGCCGTGCGGCTTACACCTTTAATATTGAGGCGGTTGGATTCAGCAGAGGGGAAAAGTTACCTGATGTAGTATTGAAACCACCCCCGTTGTTTCCTGTAAGTACATCGACAGATGAATTCACAGTGTGTTTCTCACATTTCAGAGAAAATAAAAACTCTGTATAGGACTTGAATATCCTAAAGTATAAGAAAGTAATTTAGGACCAGCAGATGGCATGGTGATGAAGGACCTGGACTCCCACATGGCTGACCGCGGTTCGAGTCCTGGACCTGGTGCCTTGCTTTCTCTGTCTTTTTCTGTTTCTCTCTGGTCAAATGGAACAAGAAGAAATAAAATTAAATGAATAATTCTTGAAAAAAAAAAAGAAAGAAACTTAAATATTTCTGTCCTTTGAGCCAGCCTGTGGCCTGGAGGTTAAGGAGGCTGGATCTCACATAGCTGACTGTACAGCTCATGTGAGTCCTGGACCCTGCAGCTGGAAAGACACTGGGCGTGTGTGCATGTGTGCCTCTGTGCCGCAAATCCCAGGGTGTGGTAACAAGAGGGAAGAGATTGCAGTGTGACCATCCCTCATGGGGGAGTATTTTCTCATTTTCTTTCTCTGTTCCTTGGAGGAGCACATATGCCCTCTTTCAAATTAAATAAATGTATATTGTCACTGTTTTCCCTTGAACTTCTGATTTCCAGACAGCTTTCTTAAAATACAGAAAACAGGACTATAAATGTTTTCATGAATATATTAGTACTGCATGAACCAGGACAGAATTATTTTGCAATTTCTACATTTTCTATTGGTGTTTCTGATGTATTCCAGTATCAAAACAATATTTTCAAAAGCCATGTTAGGTTTTTCAGTGGTTCTCAGCTTCCACTCTGCCCAGCTTTTACTTAGTGATTTTCTTCTCCTCTCACATATGTATAATTTTGCTGCTTATTGTACCACTAGGCTGTTTTTCTCCACTCAACTTTATTTTTTCGTTATTTCTTTATTTGATGAAAGCTATTTTGAATTTCATCACTATTTCTCAAACTATAATCACTTCTATTACATTTGATGTTGCTTGTAAACTAGTGAGTGTGCTGCAAGCTTAATGGCATAATGTTTAATGTTTTGCTTTATATTTTAGTTTAAAGTGTAAGCTTTTATTTCCAAATATGCATGTGCTATAATATAGAAATAAAAATTGTTACTAACCTGATACCCTTTCCTTCAGGATTCCTTTCCCTATCCCCAAAAGAAAAGTTCCTGCTGGACGATTTATGCGAGTGTCTTACATAGGGAGTCTCAGTTTAGCTCTTGATACTGGGTCGCTGGAAAGGTCATGACATATTTCCAGTGACCCAATAGTTTGCCTTTTTGATATTCAAAATAGCTTAAAACCAAACCAGATTATCTCAGGAATAGGCATGATGTCACCTCACAGTGATTTTTTTTTAGTGATTTTTTTTCCTGTTGGGCAAGTGTGCTTGCCATAGACACAGAGAGACAGCAAGAAATCACTCCCTAGGGTGGTGGCCCTAGGGGAGATGGCCATGCCGCAATTCCTTCTCTTTTACTTTCCTCCCAGGATGCTTGGCATGTACATATGCCCAATGAGAGTTTCAAGGCACCAGGTTCGAGATTCAGACCCTGGTCAGTCACGTGGGAGTCTAGCACCTTAACCACTACACCAGCTGCTTGCCCTTGCAGTGAGTTATTTTTTAAATATTTATTATTATTGTTGTTGTTATTTAATTTGCTATAAGGCACATGTGCTCACCAGAGAGAGAGAAAGGAAGAAAAGGAGAAAGCAGGCTGCCAGGACCTGGACTCAAACTGTGGTCATCTATGTGGAAGTCCAGCATCTTAACCACCACACCGCCTGTTGGCTCCACAGTGATGTCTTTTAAAACAAGCTCTTCCCCATGTGTGAGGAGAGTTCGTCTAGACACTGGGAGTGTTGGTGCATAGCGTTGATTTATACTTGGAGTAAAATGAAAATTCCTTACTACTGGCTGAAAGGCTTTGCCTGATCGGGCCTTGCTGTTGCCTCTCGGACCTTTCCCACCACACAGCTTTGCTGACCTCCTCATTCCCTCAGGCTGTTGCTCCTGATGGCTCTCTGTCTGGAACCATCTGTTTGAGCTTTGCACGGATGGCTTCTTAATTTTGTTCAGATCGCTGCTCAAATGTGACTTCCTTAAGAGGCCTCCATGCTGACCCTGTGTAGATTGGCCACTGCCACCTCCGTGCACTGTGCCAGCCAGTCTTCCTCTATGTCCGTCATGTCTACCTGGGGTCGTGCACCCTCTCGTCTGTTTACTTCTGTGTTTCTCAGCAGAATGTGAGTCCATGCAGGCAAGGACTTTGACTAGTTTACGTTGGTATCTTCTGCTCACCGACAGTCTCTGGCTTTTAGAAGGCACTCAGTACGTATTTGTCAAATGAATGAATACATTCTGAGTCAGATTTTTAAAATGTACTTTATTCTTGTCCTGTAAAATCAGAACTATCTTTACCATGTACTCTGGGGATACTTTAATAAATATGTGTGTATGGGACCAACAGTTAGCGTAATGGCTATGTCGCTGGACTCCCACATAGTCGACTGTGGTTTGAGTCCTGGACCCAGCAGCTTACACTCACACCGGGCACGTGTGCGTGTGCGCCCAAGATCCCGAGAGGAGAATGGAGGAGATGGGATTGCGGCATGGCCATCCCCTCTGGGGGGTGATTTCTCGCTTTCTATCTCTTTGTCTGTCTCTGTCTGGTGAACACACACACCCTATAGCAAAAACCTCTCCAAAAGAAGAAAAATAAATAAATAAATAAATAAATATGTGTATATGTATGATAGTATACACACATACTCGTGTGTGTCCTTTTCAAAACATGGACATGTAGTTTCAAATTCCTTTGCCATTTATTCATTCATGTCTCATTCTCTTGACTGTAAATGGGGAAATATTGGTGATACAGGTTGAGTATCCCTAATCAGAAAACTGAAATGTGAAATGTTAGAAAATCTAAAACTTTTTTGGTGCCAACATAACATCAAAAGTGGAAAAATGAATAAATTTAAAAAAAAATTTAAAAAAAAAAATGGAAGATTGCACACCTGAACTCATGTGAGAGGTCACAGAAGGCTGCAATACAAAAACATGTATAAAGTTACCTTCAGGCTTTATATACCTATAGATAAGGTATGTATAAAACATAAGTAAATTTCATATTTTATTTATTTAGAGAGATTTTTGCTGTAGGGCATGGGTGCTCACTGAAGAGAAATAAACAGAGGAAAAGAAAGTGAGAATCTCTCCCCAGGGGGATGGCCAAGCCCCACTCACCTCTCCTCCATACTCCTTTTGGGACCCTGGGCATGCGTGGATACGTGCTTGGTGTGAGTTTCAAGCCTCGGGGTCTGGAACTCGAACCTCGGCTGACTTTGTGGGAGCTTAGCTATATAACCATTACACCATCTGCTGGTCCCAGTAAATTTCATTTTTAGACTTTGGTTTTATTTTCAAGATAACTCATTGTGTATTTACCAAGGTCTAAAAAACCTGAAATCTAGGGACTAGCAGTTGGCATAATGGCTATGTTGTTGGACTCCCATGTAGTCGATTGCAGTTCAAGTCCCAGACCTGGTGGCTTCAACTCACATTGGACGTGTATACGTGTGTGTCCAAGATCCCAAGACAGGAATGGAGGAGAAGGGATTGCTGTGCAACCATCCCCCCAGGGAGGGTGATGTCTTGCTTTCTGTCTCTCTGTCTGTCTTTCTGACAAGCACATGCTTCCTATAGCAAAAACCTCTCCAAAATAAAAAATAAAAAACCTGAAATCTGAAACATTTCTGGTCCCAAGAATTTCAGATGAGGGATATACAATCTATACTTTAGATGAGACAGTAGATATTGAATATATCCTGGTCATCATAACTGCTTGGTAAATAATAGCTGATACCTTTTTTTCCCTAATGCTTCTGCTCCCATGATAATACCATCATTGGTTGAGGTTTATAGAAAACTAAAGCAGTTGCTTTCATTTGGGTACTTTGATTCTTCTTTTTTTAAGTTTTTGCTGTAGGGCATATGCACTTGCCAGAAAGGTAGAGAGTGATGGAGAGAGAGAATGTGAGAAATCACTCCTCAGGGATATGGCCATGCCACAATCCTTTCTCCAGTCTCTTCTTGGGATTTTGAGCATGCAGCTACACGCCCAGCATGATTTTCAAGCTTCTGGGTCCAGGCCTTGAACCATAGTCCTATGGAAGTCCAGTGCCTTAACCACACCACCTGCTGGCCCTAGTTATCTTGCTTTTAAAATATTGATTCACAAGCCAGCAGATGGCATATTTGTCAAGGTGCTGGACTCCCACATGGCCAACTGCGGTTCAAATCCCGGACCTGGCAGCTAGAAACTCATACTGGGCACATATGTGTACGTGTACAAAATCCTGAGAAGAGACAGAGGAGAAGGGATTGTGGGATGGCCATCTCCCCCTGAGGGTGATGTCTCACTCACTTTTTGTCTCTGTCTCTCAGGTGAGCACCTGTTTCCTATAGCAAAAATTTCTAAAAAAAAAAAAAAAAGAATGATATAAAAAATGATGAACAGCATAGTCGTTAGGGCCAATAGGAAAATTATGCCTTTCTCCTGCTGCTAAAATAAGAGCAAAGTAGGATATGAGTTTAAAGGTAATACAGTTAAATTTGTTGTAAAACTTAGTGCATGCAAAACAGTTTTTCAGTACAACTGTGATTTTCTGAAATAAAGATGAAAGAGAAATTAAAATAATTAATTTTTTGAAAACCTTTGGCTCTTGATTTAAATAGGATACAGATTATAAGGCAGTGCCTCTGAAAATAGGAGAAGGTGAAGAATATATGCTGGCCTTGAAGCAGGAGTTGAGAGAAACAATGAAAAGAATGCCTTATTTTATTGAAACACAAGAAGAAAAACAAGGTACGTACTGGACTCTGATGATGTGGTTCGATGTATGCAGATGAAACTGTGTAAACACAAGATATGTGATCATTGAAAGTGAAAGTTGTAAAGTCTTTGATTTAGGGTGCATACCCTTTATGCTTATGTCTAGAGAACAGTAGACATAATGTCTGTTAATATTTTGTTGAGTATCTCGGATTTTTTTTTCAGTGTGTATGTTCTCTTTACAAAATTGGATTCAAATTACTTAGTATTTTCCCTCTATTCAATAGTATAGTATTAGAATTTTCACATGTCATTATTGTTTTAGGGAAATACAAATTTTAATAGCTCTATGGTATTCCACTGTATGGATATAGCATTATTCGTTGTAAGTAATTCCTTGTCATTAGATTAACGATTGTTTGAAGTTTTTTTGTTCATAATGTTGTGATTACTATCATATATATAATTCTTATGCATGTCTGTGATTATTTAATGTATAAGCCTTGACATTTTTTGTTGACTCTTTTTGTATCTAATATGATAGAAAATATATAATATGTATTCATTGGTGGTGCTAAGGGCAAAGAGGAGAAATTAGAGTTACAAAAGGTTTGCTAGGCTCCTGCTGGAAGTGGAAAGTGGTTCTAGAGGAAGAGTAGTTATTTAGCATAGTAGAACTATATTGAGTTTCAGTTTCTGCCCCTGACTGTTGAAAGTGGAGAGATCAGTATCATCTTTGAGTTTTCAAAACAATGTAATTAAAACATGAGAAATTCATATACTGTCATCTCGTTCCACTAGTATTAAAAATGCATTCAATTTTTTCCTATCTCTAAGACTTAAAATTGGCTAAGAGTCATAAAGAAAGTTTTATATGGTAGTCTTACGTGTGTGTGTAATTACAAGCATTTTAGAAAAGTTCACTTAATTTTCAAAATATGGTTGCTCAAAGTAATATAATGATTTGAGAAGAGTTCTTTTACTTCAGAAGTGAGATATGGAATTGTTCAAGCCTTGGACCCAGTGGCTTAAAAAAATATGAGAAGTGTATGCGGGTATGTCCAAAATCCCAAAAGGGGGGAGAAATAGAGAGGAGGCTGAGACATGATCATTCTCCATGGAGGGGTACTTTCACTTTTCCTCTCATCTTCTCTTTCTCCTCTGCTCTCTCTTTTCTTTCTGTCTGGTGATTGCATGTACCCTCTAGCAAAGATTTTTTTAAAAATCATCCTTTAAAATATGGTTCACTGAGAACCAGCAGGTGGCATGGTGGTTAAGGTGCTGGACACTCCCACATGGCTGACCACGGTTCAAGTCCTGGACCTAATGGCTTGCTTTCTCATTCCCCCTCCTCCCGTAGGTCTCTCTCTGTCAAATTTTAACAAAGAATAAATGAAAGCATGAATAAAATGAAATAATTCTTTAAAAATTGATTTGTTGGACTCAGATCATAAGTGGTAAAAAAATTTTCTGTAGGATATGTGCTCTTCGCCGAGAGAGAGAGAAAGGGCAAGAAAGAGAGAGAAAGCACCCCTAGAGGGGTTGACTTTGCTGCCTTTCCCTGGATTTTGGGCACATATATACACCTGGCATGCTTCTCAAGGTCCAAGACTCAAAACATATAATTGGCCATGAGGGATCCAGCCACTGCAACCATCATACCACTGGCTGGCCCTAATTGCACATTTGGTCTAAAGTCAAACCAATGTTTAGAAAAACTTGGTCTCATTTATTATTATTTATACATTCAATCATTATACATCATTTAGATTGTAAATAGATTTTACCCGACATGATATATACCGCACAGCAGGTGAGTTGAAAATACTATATATGACATCATCAACAGGCAACAAACCATATCTGTGTCCCACTGAGGTCTTACATCTCCATTTTTCCCCAAATTTCCCTTCCTGTACTCTTACCTTCTACTCTGTCCCCAGTGTCAATAACAATTTTTAATGTTTTTATTTCCTCTAGTCTTTCAGTCTCTACCATAGAGTGTGGACAGTCAGTATATGTTAAGTAGAGACATACACTGTCTCTGTTTCATAGCCTGACTTGCTTCACTCAGCAATAAATCTTCCATGTTCATCCACTTTCTATCAAATGCCAGGGTCTTTTTTTTTAATGGCTGAATAGTATTCCATGAAGTATATGTGCCACACTTTTTCAGTCTATTCATCTGTTTGTGGACATTTGGGTTGGTTCCATGTCTTAGCAATCATGAATAATGCTACAATAAATATAGTTGTGCAAGCGCTTTTCTAGCTAAGCCTTCTCCTGTCTTTTGGGTAGATACCCAGGAGTGGAATTGCCGAATCACATGGTAGTTTTATTTGAAGGTCTTTAAGGAACCTCCATATTGTTCTCCATAGTGGCTAGACCAATTTACGTTCCCACCAACAATGTAGGAGAGTTCTCCTTTCGCCACATTCCCGCCAGCACTTATCATTTTTTGTTTTTTTAAATCTTGGCCATTCTGACTGGGGTTAGGTGGTATCTCATTGTGGTTTTGATCTGCATCTCCCTTAAGATGAGAGATGTTGAACTCTTTTTCATATACTTTTTGGCTGTTCCTATGTCTTTCTTAGAGAGTTGTTTATTCAACTCATTTTCCCATCTTATAATTGGGTTAATCATTTTCTTCCGGGTCAGCCTCTTGAGTTCCCTGTGTATTCTGGTTATCAGTCCCTCATCTGAGGCATAGTTTACAAAAATTTTCTCCTATTCTGATTGTTGTCGATTCACACTAGGTACTATGTCCTTTGTTGTGCAGAAACTTCTTTATCTGATGTAATCCCACCTGTCTATTTGGGGATTATAGCTTGTGCTTTGGGGGTCTTTCTTAAGAAAGACCTACCCCAATGTCTCCCAGACAGGTAACCCCACCCCAGGTCCCACCTTGCCTGTTTCTACCCTGTTCTCCATTCTCTTCCCCAGTAGCTTGTGAAAAGTAAGTCACTGCCTACCCCAGTGTCTCCCAGTTTCTCCAGTGTTTTCCTCCAGTAGTTTTATAGTTTGCGACCTTAGGTTTAGATCTTTGATCCACTTGGAGTTGATTTTTGTTAATGGTTATAGATAGGGGTTCGGATTCATCTTTCTGCAGATGGATACCCAGTTTTTCCAGCACCACTTGCTGAAGAGGCTTTCCTTTTCCCACTGGATTGACTGGTACCCCTTGTCAAAGATCAGTTGGCTGTGTGTTTTGAGGTTTATTTCTGAGGACTCTACTATATTTCATTGGTCCTCATGTCTGTTTTTGTGCCACTATCGTGCTGTTTCGATGATCACACCTCTGTAATATATTTTGGAGTCAGGAAGTGAGATGCCATCTCCATTTTTCTCCTGCAAGATGGCTTTGACAGTATGGAGTTTTCTATGATTCCAGACAAATTCTATAATTATGTTTATTAGATCTATGAAGAATCTCTCTTATAATTTTATAGGGATTGCATTAAATATGTAGATTAATTTGAGTAGGATTGCCAATTTGAGTAGGATTGCCATTTGGATTATATTGAATCTCCCAATCCTGGAACATGGGATGTCCTTCCACTTTTTTGTGTCATTTTAATTTCTTTTTTAAGATTTTCAGTTTTTCTTATAGAGGCCCTTGACTTTCTTGTTTTTTTTTTTCAAAGAATTACTTTTTAATTTAATTTATTCATTCATTTATTTAAATTTGACCAGAGAGAGACAGACAGAGAGAGAGAAGGAAAGTGAGAAAGGAAGCCATCAGGTCTGGGACTCGAACTATGGTCAGCCATGTGGGAGTGTCCAGCGCCTTGACCACCCCACCACCTACTGGTTCCCCCTTGGTTAGTTTTATTCCTAGGTATCTTATGTTTTTTGTAACTATGGTAAACAGGATTACTTTCTTCAGTTCTGTCTCTGTCTGCTTGTTGTTTGTATATCGAAGTGCTATAGATTTTTGTAAGTTCATTTTCTATCCTGCCACTTTACTATATGCACTTACTATTTTGAGAAATTTTATCATGGTACCATTGGGTCTTCTGTGTATGCAAACATGTCATCTGGAAACAGAGATAATTTCAGCTCTTCTTTCACTATTGGAATGCCTTTTATTTCCTTCTCTTGTCTGATTGCAATGGCTAGGACTTTCAGTACTATATTGAATAGGAGCAGAGAGTGAAATAAATATGTTATCTGCTGTTCTCAATTATTTAAAGTAATGGCTTAAATTCAAGTTTATTCTTGATGTATCTAATGAACTCTTTTTATTCTTTTCTCCCCCTAGATATTGAAAGGTATAGTAAAAGATACATGAAGGTATACAAAGAAGAATGGATACCAGGTAATTACAAACCAGACAATATAAAATAATTTTTAAAGGGACCAGCAGATGGTGTGATGATTACATCATTGGATTCCCACATAGTTAACTGCAGTTCGAGTCCCAGACCCAGTGACTTAAACTCATGCTGGGCACATATGTGTGCATGCCCAAAATCCTGAAGGAGAATGGAGGAGGAGTTTTAGCGTGGCTATCTCCCTGAGGGATGATTTCTTGCTTTCCATCTGTCTCTCTATTTCTCCTAAACAAGCGTACACACCCTATAGCAAAACTCCCTCTTTAAAAAAAATAATTATTTTTAAAGGCTGTCTCCCTATTCTGTATGTTTTTAGGATGTTTTCTATTTTCACCATAGAGAAATAGTCTAGTCCTTTTCCTGTAATTAATTAGCAATGTAAATCTTTTGGAAACTAAGATGAAAATATTTTTATATTGTAGCAAAGAAGAGTTGAAGAGTTTTTGTAGAAATTTTTTTTTATTTTTTATTTTTTCAGAGGTTTTTGCTATAGGGCGCTTGCACTCACCAGAAAGACAGAGAGTGAGAGAGAGACAGAATGCGAGAAATCACCCCCTAGGGGGGATGGCCACGTCACAGTTGCTTCTCCTCCATTCTCCTTTCAGGATCTTGGGCACGCACGCACACGTGCCTAGCATGAGTTTAAGCCATCGAGTCTCGGACTCGAACCACAATTGACTACATGGGAGTCCAGCGACATAACAGTTACGCCAACTGCTGGTCCCTGTAGAAATTCTTAGAATGTGCTTTTCATGGGGTCAGCCAGAAGAATGGTAGTTAAGGCGCTGTTAACTACCACATGGCTGACTGCAGTTTGAGTCCTTGGCCTGTGTCTTGAAAATCACGCCAGGCACATGTGCATGTGTGCCCCAAATCCCAAGAGGAGAATGGAGGAAAAGGGTTTGCCGCAAGGTCATCCCCTCTGGCAGTCATTTCTCATGTTTCCTCTCTCTATCTTTCTTTTCTTTATTTCTTTTTTTTCCCTAAGAATTATTTACTTAATTTTTATTCATTATTATAATTTTAAAACTATTTTCTGTAGGCCCCAAATCTTCACCAGAGAGAGAGAGAGAGAGTGAGAGAAAGTGAGAGAAAGTGAGAAACCAAGCCACCAGGTCCAGGACTCGAATTTTCAAATATCATTACCCATAATCATGATTTCAATTTACAGTGCCAATAAGCATTTATTTCTTTACTACTGTGTGATTATAGAGCCTTTTTTTTTTTTTTTAAAGAGAGATATTTGGTATAGGATGCACTTGCTGAGGAAAAAGGCTGACAGAAAGCAAGAAATCACCCCCTAGGATGGTCACACCGCAATCCCTTCTCCATTCTCTTCTCGTGATCTTGGGCACATATGCACATGTGTCTGGTGTGAGTTTCAAGCCACTGAGTTCGGGACTGGAATCGTGGTCAACCACGTGGGAGTCCAGTAGTGTAACATTTCCACCATCTGCTGGTCCTGAGCTTTTGAGAAAGCAGTTGTCCAGTTGTAAGGGTATTTTAAGGCAAGCTTTTGTAGTTTTTTGGGTTTTGCTATAGGGTGCATACAGAGATATGCAAATAAAGTGAGAAATCACCTTCCAGGGGTCTGGCCACACCACAATCCGTTCTCCTCCATTTTCTTTCCAGGGTTTTTGCCACTCACATACACCTACATTTCCACCATGATTTTCAAGCCACCAGGTCCAGGACTTGAGCCAGTTGGCCATGGGAAGTCCAGTGCCTTAACCACCTCGCCACCTGCCAGCACCCTGTAGCTTCCTTTCTTTTAAGGAGTTAGAGACTATTGTTAGGTTTTTTTTTGTTTTTTTTTTTTAAGAATTATTTAATTAAATTAAATTTATTTATTTATTTATTTTTAATTTGACCATAGAGGGACTGTGAGAGAGAGAGAGTGAGTGAGTGAGAAAGTGAGAAAGGAAGCCACCAGGTCCAGGACTCAAACCGTGTTCGGCTATATGGGAGTCCACCGCCTTCAACCACCATGCCACCCACCAGCACCCCCCCCCCTTTTCTTTTTAAGAATTTTTATTTAATTTTGGGAACCAGCAGTTAGTGTAATGGCTGGGTGGCTGAACTACCA